ATTTTCATCATTGATCAAGGATTCCATCAATCCAAGGCTGGTTATAGCTTGTTCACAAAAGGGACATGAGATTCTTTCACAACCATATTAGTTTATGTGGATAATATAATAATAGCTGGGAATGATGTTGAAGCTATGAATTTACTTAAAACCTCACTTGATGATAAATTTAAAATTAAGGATTTAGGAAACTTGAAGTATTTCCTTGGGATAGAAGTGACTCAATCAGCAAAAAGGATTCAGATTTGCCAAAGGAAATATGCATTGGATATCTTGGGAGACTCAAGAACAATTAGAGCCACTCCAACCAAGATACCACTCGATCAAAACATCAAATTGTCCAAAGATGATGGAGAGATACTTACTGATCTTGGATTGTACAGAAGGTCGATAAGAAGATTGCTCTATTTAACAATCACCAGGCCTGATATATCCTATTCCGTAAATTTCCTTAGTCAATATACCACACCTAAACACTGCACATAAGATACTTAGATACATGAAACAATCACCAGGCCAAGGGCTGTTGTTTCTTTCATCCTCTGATTTACAGATTAAAGCATATTGTGATTCTGATTGGGTTCATGTCCAGATTCTCGAAGATCTATAACTGGGTATTGTATGTTAATTGGTTCATCTTTGGTCTCTTGGAGATCAAAGAAGCAAAACATAGTTTCGAGATCCTCAGCAGAGGCGGAGTACAGGGTAATGGCTGCAGCTTGTTGTGAATTAACGTGGCTGAAATATGTTCTCAATGATCTGCAAGTGCCTCACTCACAGCCAGCTGAGTTGTTTTGAAATAACCAAGCGGCTCTACACATAGCCACTAATCTAGTGTTTCACGAGCGAATGAAGCACATCGAGTTGGATTGTCATTTGGTACGGGAGAAAATACAAGAAGGGAGCATTATTCCAAAACACGTTAGAACAGGTTCTCAAATTGCAGAGATACTGACTAAACCTCTATGTTCTAATGTTTTCTATTTTCATTTGTCCAGGATGGGAGTGGAAGACATTTACTTTCCATCTTGAGGGGGGCTATTGGAATACAAATTAGCCACTAGCTGGAATGATCGAGAAGGATCTAGAAAGTGATCATCAGGAGGATCACGGCAGTGAAGGCAGCTGAGAGCCTGAAGCACATGTTGGAGAAGTTAGAAAAGATTCCAATTCAGTTATCTTGTTGATAATTAGTGTGCAATAGCGTTTTGACACTTGTATAGGTTTGTTAGGATGAAATGTATATATAAATGTAATTTGCTATCCATATTTGTAAGTAATATATTAGTATAAAATGAATACAGATAGATTTTCATTAATCAACATCAGTTTTCCTCTCCAATTTTCTTCCATTTTATTCTCTGAATTTGCCTACCTTTTTTCCCCTTTTTTGCACAGCAAGGTTGGGCTGATTTATATTTGATCCATCTCACTTTCTTGCAGTAACAATGTGACTCAAAGCCAGAAACAGTTAAGACCATCACTTAGAAGTGGTTAAGGTCCTCACCAAAGTAATTTTAGGTTAAAATCTCATACGAAGTGAATAGGGGAGGGAGAGTTGCTTCCTACTTCCTATTGTACAACCCATAACACTAGCAGCCAAACGAAAAGGATAAAAGGAAATATTTTGTTGCAATAGATTTCAGTCAACCTATTCCAATTCTGTAGCAATTTAGGACTTCAAGACACATAAGCTCCGCATAGCCAACATCAATAGAATCTAAACCCAAGTCACTCAAAGTTTGGCAATACTCTAAGCTAAGACTTTTCAACCTCTTGCATCCTTTTCCTATAGCACAAATGCTCCTGCAGCGTTGTGAAGGAAAGAATAATATTAGTGAGCTAGCACGAATATTGTCCATTCTCCTTCATTGCATTCACTCCCACCCTTAAAAAAAAAGTGGAGAAATTAGAAATAAAGCACCATATAAAACAATATATTCTAATGCAGATAAACGTAGAAGTTCTATTTTGAAAAAATATACCCAATCTATCACATGGACTCCCATAAAGGCATTAATTACATATAATAGACACTTGAGGCATAGATGGAGGTACACGATGAGTCTAATGTGCATCACTAGCCAAATAAAATTCAAAAATAAGAAAATAATAATAAATTTTGCTCTTCAGCTTATTAGTGAAACTAAGAAACCTGAAGATGATATTTCATTGCACCGACACACATACCTTATGTCATTTTAAAAAAAATTATCATTTGCCTAATCTCGGAAAGAAAAAAGAATTAATAAAATCAAATTTCATTTGTAATCTGAACCACAATTAAATAGAAAAACCTATGTTAATCTGCATTGCTTAGGGTCCGTTTGATTGCAAAGGTAGAAAGAAAATGTTTTATAAATAATTGAATTGTCTAGAAATTGTTTTACTGGAAATTGTAATTAATTGTGTTTGATTGTGATAATTTTCCACTTGAAAAATGTTGAAAGTTTGGTTCCATTTGGTCTCTTTTTTATGGAAATTTTTCATTCAAGTGATAATTTTTTTACCATTGGGTCTAGAATTTGTTCCAATTGCCAAAAAAAAATTTGGAAAAAAAATTATCATACCTACTACCATTCGTTTGGCTTTGTTTTACATGAAAATTATCAATAAAAGTGATAAAAAAATTTTAAAACCAACCAAAATAACAAGAATACATTTTCCTCAAAAAGCTGGAAAATAAGGAAAGATGGAAAAATTTTTCCAAGCAAAATTTTGCTATCAAACTGGTGCAAATGTTAGAAAATAGAAAAAAATATCAATTTTCCATGAAGACATTCCAATTTTGTATCGAAACACTAGATTTTTGTTATGGCAAGTTAAGATGCATGTAGTACTTGTACAGCTAGATTTGGATGATACGTTGCTGGGTATTGATAGGATGCCAGCAACTTTGACCGCAGAAGAGAAATTACTGAAGGATGAAAAGTTAGTTTCTCACATTCATCTTCATCTATCAAATTCCATTCTTCAGGATGTTTTGAAAGAGATGTCAGCAGCTGCTTTGTGGTTGAAGTTGGAGCAATTATGCATGATCAAGAGTCTTAAAAGCAAATTTCATCTCAAACAACGGTTATACTCTCATCACATGGCAGAAAGAGGATCGTTGGAAAATCACCTGGCTGTATTTAAGGAGATCGTCGCTGATTTAGAAACATGAAAGTTAAGTGTGATGAAGAAGATTTAGCCTTGAGCCTATTGCATTCATTGCCCATTTCTCTTTCTTCATTTAGAGACATGATCTTATATAGTCGTGATACTCTCACCGTTGAAGAGGTTTATGATGCTTTGTTTTCAAAAGAGAAGATGAAGCATTTGATTTGTGAGGCTATAGATGGAGAGGGCCTAGTTGCTCGTGCTGGTTCTAGAAGGGGCAGATCAAAGTTGAAGTCTAGTAATCAAATTTGTAACTACTGCAGGAAGAATGGACACTTAAAGAAGGATTGCTACAAATTGCAGAGTAAATAAAGGATGGCTATAAGTAGATATTTAGATACTTCAGG